ACTGTTTTAGTCCTATTTCGGGTAATATCTCTAAAAAAAAGTATAAAACACCAATGGTTCAATTCACAGACTCGCGGTAAATTTGCATGCAGAAATACAGTCACTCAGCTGGAGTATACACGCAAAGGCTTTCATTTTTGTCAGTCTTGTACATACTTGCACCAGCCGACCATCTATTCTACCTCTATATAGATACCTGCCTCATAAAAGCTTTTTCTGTTTTATAATATCCCGTTATCCCAATTTGGCCGGATTAATCCTTAACTCGATCTCCAAACTTGCGTTAGTGGTGCGTAATCGATTCACGGTTCAGTTTTTGTTGGTTTCAATTCGATTTCGGAGATAATGTATCAAACTAAAACCATTTGAATTTTGGAGTTTCGGTTTGGTTTCGGTTTGGTTTAGAAGTGATTTCGTTCAATTTGGGAGTGGTTTGGTTTGGTTTGATTATGTTTAGTTCGATTTGATTCGGTCTCATATACTTATTAATCTATCTGATCCACAGAATAAAATTCTACATTTTAGAAATAGAAATATGTTTTAGAAAGAGAAAATGAAAACAATAGTCCACATCACCTTGTTGTATTTTTTATTTAAATAAAATGTTAATGAAAATAATAGATATAAAGAAATAATCAAATATTATAAATTAGCACATAATTTGTCTTACTAGCTATAAGACTGATGGCATGAAATGATGAAAGGGTGTTAGAGAGGTCACTTAGTCATAAACCATCAAAGTGTATAGAATAAATCATAATTTATTGGTTGAGAACTTTTATCAAACACCTAGTGAACATAGAGGATATTTATCTCTAACCTGAGCTAATAACTTAATATCTAATCCTCATATTAATCATCATACAACATTTAATGTAATGAAATATGAAATTATAGAGGAAATAATATCTAAACACATGATGGGCTTTCCTCCACAAGAATTCCAAGAAATGAACAAGAACAAAAATATATATAAGCGCTGAATCAAGTTTTGGATTAAATGATGGAGATTGGGGATGGAAATTGGGGTTTAAATAGACTAAAAATTGACATCTTTAAATCTTTTAAATGATCATACATCAATATGCAGTGGAGGATCGGGGGGGGGGGGGGGGGGGGAGTGCCCCCGGTTCCGACCTCGAAATTTAGTATTAGTACTTATGATATAATCAATGTTCCCGCTTCTTGATGTGAAACTATGACTATTAGATATGTAATGATTCTGTCAAAGAACAAATGTAAATTGTTATAAGTCATTTAAATGACTACAGAGTTATGATGAATCGATTTCATACAATTAAACATGTTCTTGACACGGTCATTCTCTGAAAAGTGGCATTCATGATTATTTTTTGTGAAGTACGAATTATTTTTTTCTAAAATTAAAAGTTAATGATATGACGAGATTTCGAATATGTGCGATGAGTTTAATGGATTTAAGATTATATTAAATGAAATTCCATAAACAAGATATATTCATTTTTTCTTACCAATTACGTACAATTCGTTGTTGTGGCTATTGCACAAAAAAGAAGAAGTTTGTGGATACTTTCTTTGGATTTTCTCCATGTTTATGTTACTAAAATGTTGGGATCCTCATGTAAAATAAAGGGTGTATTCCGACAAAAACAACATGATACCATAAGAGAGTTATTAGAAAAGAGTGTAGTAATAACAAACGGGAGATAATTGAATCAGGAAATTAAGGTAGTTTACCTTGGTTGGGAGTTACATGTTAGGGTTCACAATTTAATCCCAAATTGTTCTCAAAATCTCTATTTCCCGACCATCAAGAATAGTGCAACATATCGTTGTAATTGTAGATGAATCATGTCTGATCAGCGATGGTTGTGGCTTGATCAACGCTGCTTGTATGTGTGTTTGTTTGATCAATTTTATGTAAGTTAAAATTAATTGAAAGAAGGATAAAGGGTCAAAGAGGCCCCGGTATCCGTCCGGAATGCTCAATTCGCTCCCTAAACTCTAAAAAGCTCCAATTCACCCCCTAAACTCGATAAAAACTTTAAATCTCATTTTTTGCAGATAAAGTCTGGTCACTGCCACGTCACCCGGTCAGATGTCAACCGTGCAACCCATGTGGCAAATTAAGGGATCAAATAGGTCCGTGAACTCGACATAGTTGTTCAATTTACCCCCTCAACCGGTAAAAAGTTTAAAAAATGCAATTAAAAATAAGAAATTAAAAAATAAAAAATAAAAATATAAAATAATATACAAGTTCATAATATAAAATATAGACATCTATTTATAATATAATCAGCAAATATTTATATTTTGCAGTAAATAAAATTTATAAATGAATATAACAAAAATAAATTATTTTTAAATACATAATATAAAAATGTAATAACTATTTTGATATTATACTTTTTATATTGTATAAATTTTCATGGTGTATATACTTCGTATTAAGTATAGTTTATATATATATATATGCATATATGCATGTGCGTGTGTGTGTAATTTTACATATAAATCTAAAACATAATTAAGATGTTTAAAAATATCAAATGAAAAATATAACTCTAAAATATAACCATAACATAAATTGTAAAACAAAAAACCTAAAATATGTTTTATAATACCAATTATTACAGAAGATTAAACAGATCATATTGGAATTCTCCCTTTAGGGTTGGTTTTTGTCCGTCCCATTGAACTTTGCTAACTTTCCATTTTTGATTTTCTCAAAAACCTTGGCTATTTTTTTATTAAAGCAACTTATTTATCATTTTGTATATTTCTTTTTCCTCTGCACAAACCTCAACGAGACAACTTTTACTTTCTTTATTTCTCACCTACTTCAAACTTGGCAAAGTTCATCGGGACAGAGGTAGTATTATTCAACATACACCGTTGCATAGATCTTGAAAAACTTAATTAGTAGTTTAAAACAAAGTTACCCCAATCGAATATCCGAGCGCGAAACAAATACAAGACGCGGTGTAACACTGCGTATTTCCATTTTTGCAAACACTAAAAAGTAAGTTTCCCAAATGAAAAGCAGAAATATATCTCAAATTTGACGACCTTCCCGGTTGAATTTTTTGCTTAAATTTGGTATGGATGATCTAGACTTGATGAGGAACATATACAAAAAATTTCAGCCAAAAATACCACCGGTTCCTTGGGGTTCTCACGGGTTCTAATTTTAAGAGGGGGTTCTCACTAGAACCCTCCACATCATTCACCATATGGGAATGTTCATTTATTATCCAAAACGAGCCCTTTATGGATATTCTTAGGAGAGCCTTGTCTTTCTAGGCCAGTTTCCTTTTCCAGTCACGGGGACCAGGATCAAATGAGTACTCCTTCCCGTTCTTCGCTTAAGCGAAGATCTATTTCCAACCTATCAAAACCAAATAATCAGACTAGACAAAAAATAAGCCGTGCGGGTTTTTCTGGTAAAAACAAAGATGATCTTGCTTATTATTCAGACGTAAATTTTTATTTTTTATCAAATTTATTATCAAAGAGGCGAAGAAATCAATTAAGCATTCCCCTCCAATCGATTAAAGAAGGCAAAATTAAACTACTACCCAAGTCAAATATCTCAATGAAAATACCTGCAAATGGTGTTTTTTTTCAAAACACTATTATTGCTTATTTTGACGAGCCCCGGTCCAGAATAAATCATTTAGACAGTACCCTTAAGGTACCATATTTTTGTCCACATGGACCAATCAGAATGCTGCAGTTGAATTATTTAAATCTAAATTAAAAATGATATAATGATTTGGACCAATCAAGTGAATGATAGGTACGGTACCCCAATTTTAAGGTGGGTACCGGAGTTGTCACCTCTTTTAAAATATAAAAAAATCTGAAGCCCCCAGGAATTGAACTCACGGCCAAAATGATGCACTTGCATCTTGCAACCCACAAGACTACATTGATTTGTTGGTACTATCACACCTTTACAAATATTTAACATATATATTTTTAACACAACGTATTTTGATATATGCAATTCAAAAAATAAAATAAAAGTGCTCTACATTAATTAAATAAAAAAAGAAAGAAATAAATGAGAACGGCTGGACTAATTCATCCCAAATTTAATGAAAAATCTTATTATTGATGCAAAATAATGCAAAAATATATATTTCATGTACAAAAATGAAAAACATCCAACACTAAAATACAAGTTTTTTTACAATCATAATTTAAGTATTTTACAAGTCTGAGGTGGATTTGAACCTATATTAAGTTATTTAATTTTTGTACGTGAAATTTATATTTTCACATGTTTTTGCATTAGCAATATAAGATTTTTTATTAAATTTGGGATGAATTAGTCCATCTGTTTTCATTTATTTGTTTCTTATTTTATTTAATTAACGTAGAGTAATTTTAAATTTTTTGAATTGCATATATCAAAATACGTTGTATTAAAAATATATAGATGTTAAATATTTGCAAAGGTGTAGTTGTACTAACAAGTCAATGTAGTCTAGTGGGTTGCAAGATGCAAGTGCATCATTTTGGTCCTACTTTGGGGAAAAACTCGGTAAATGAGTTTTTCTTTCCAAAAAAAGATGTAAATGTGCTTTTCTTTCAAAAATAATACTAAATAAACTTCAATTTACCATATTTACAAAAACTACCCTCATGTAAATGGTTGCAAGATGCAAGTGCATCCTAAATAAACTTCAACTTTCTTTTTCGGGTATGTTCAAAATAAACTTCACACTTTTTCCCCTTCCTTATTTGACAAATTATCTACATCAAAACAGTGCAAAACAATGTCAAACAGTGCCAAACAGTGTCACAACAGTGTATCTACGGTAAAGTCAAATTTATTTCCTTAATTTGTGTGAAGTCAAAGTATGAAGTTTATTTGGGACCGGAGAGATTAATAATAATAATAATAATAATGTCAATATGCTTTAGGTCCACAGCATGGGCCCCAAAACAGATGAGAAGCGTATGCAAGTGTTTGGGGCGCAAGCCCAAAATTAGGCAATCCATTATGAGCAATAGCCCGTGACCCGGACCCGGAGAGCCGCCTGACCCGGTCATGGTTTCGTCTTCTTAGACACCGCTACTTCCGACGAGCTCGGTACCAGATCACATGATACGGCCTACCTTGTGCGGTGTTCTTCATCGTGGCCATGGCCGTCGTGTCCTTTGTAGTTTATTTAGGCCACAACCTGACCATTAATCTCAACACATCTCTTGCATTTTCTCGTCAATTATCAACCTAAACTAATGGTTCTGTCCGGTATCATTGAAAAAATAGGAGACTAGGAGGGTCGGAAACCCCAACGACAATCCTTTCCATTCCCACCCCCGTAAGCAAATAGGTTGAAAGATACCAGTTGACCGAAGGAAGACTGGGAGACGTCGATGGTTAGCGGCATCATCCAAAATTTATTCCGAATCTTGCTTATCACGGGAATTCATCAATGCATACATCATCTTACAACACTAGACGACTGACCCCTAACGAATGAGACTGTCCGGTTTGACTAACACCTGAACAAAGGTTAGGTTTCTTCCGATTCTCAATGGTTTAGTTGTTATCTGTGTTGCTCTATTGCTTAAGTATGTTCTTAAACATTTAAAATCAGTTTGGAGTATTACAAAATACAAATGGCTACAAATTATTGTGAAGCACACAACATGTTTGTGAAATTGTCTAGGTAAGACCCTTTGTGTTTTCTGACTATTCATTACATGCTTACCCATTTCAATTTAGTTAATAACTTAATACCCTCAACAGTACTCTGTCAAATTTCAGCACCTAAAATATTCAGTCATAGTGAAAATTTCATGTATGGGTTTGGGCAGACAAAAACAAGGTTTAGTAACGAATAAATAGATACATGCAATATTTGGTAGATCAGAGCAATGTATTATACATTTTTATCTCTATAATTGGAAATGTGTTTCGTAAAACATAACTAAACAATTAAGAATGTACAAAGTGCTATAAATGGAACAATTTTAGCCTAAAATTGTATTTCGTCCCTTTGTTGTCACCAACTTAGAAATTACCAGTGACATGGTTATTTAAAATTTGCATTCAAATTGACAATAGTGTGTTATTTTTAACTTATGTCAACAGAATCAACCTATTTGAAAATTCTTATAACATCTCAATATCTCCTATGTCCTAACATGTGTCATTAGCTTAGCCTATTTTAAATAGTCTGATACTTTCTATATCAAATTACTAAATGATTCAGTTACAAAATGACCCGCTTTGGCAATCTATATGTTTCTTAGAATTTTTTTCTTATGTAAATCAAAATTGGACTCACAGATCTTGAGCACATTTATACACATTTATGAGATTCATTAAACGCTATGTGATATGAACTTCTTTCTGTCATATTTTGGGTACTTTGTATCTGTTTTTCGATGTAACTGACTTTTTAAATGGACACAAATGACATATTACTACTCGTCAGCAGTGTTCTAAAAGTCTGCTTAAGGCGCCGCCTAGGCCCGCCTAAACGTGAGGCGCCACTGTAACGCCTCGCATACCGCTCAGGCGCAGTAGAAGGCGGAAAAATTGTTATAGACTTCGGTTTTAATCTGCACGTTGCCTTTTCAAGCCATGCATGACTTTCTTAGTAATGCAAAGGGAGGTGGATTACTTTATAGAGTTAGGTGTGGAGGAATTCTCTTCTCCTACCGGTGTGGGAAACTTGAATGGGAGAGGAAAAACAAAAAATTTTAAACATAAAGTCTAAGGTGATAGGGCAAGGTTTTGGACACAGTAATTTCATGTGAAGTAGGCCACTGATCTGATCAATGCTTTATTTTGAAATTGTCGATTATTTTTATTGCGAAGCTTTATATACTCCCGTATATTATTAATATTATTATAAACTTAATCTAAATACGCTAAACATCTACTTTGTACTATGTACGGAGTATTACATAGTATTATCAACATTAAGATTAATTAATACTATAATTGTTGTAATTTTTGTTATTATTATATTGTTGTTATTATTATATATATTATTGTTCTTATTGTATTCTATTATTAGTATTTTAAACATCATCATTGTTATCATATTTATTAGAGGTGTTTTCTAAAATATTACAAAGTATTTGACTAAAATGACCATAACTATATTTTTATAATCACTGCAATGTAAACTTCGAATTTAATTATAGTCACTAAAAGTTATTAAATCACATTTATTTCACTATCCTTATTTTAGCCATTTATTAGGTATTATTTCTTTTTATTAGTATCTTATCATTCAACTACTTTTTTCAATTCTAGTTTTTGAGTAATTGATCGGTTTATATTTGTTACATTTAGAACTCGAAGGGTACTTTTTTGTTGCAAATTAGAAAAGTATGATGTTCTTGGATAACATTTTTTAATTATAAATTTAAATATTTGAAACTACCTCTAGAAAAATTAAAATAAATGATTAAACAATAAACGCCTTTTCACGCCTTAATCCCGCCTAAGCCCGCCTAGGCTGCAAAAGCTTAAGGCTCGCTCGTGCTGCCTCGGCACGCCTTGCGCCTTTTAGAACATTGCTCGTCAGGTTTGCAAAGATGGTTCTATTTGATAAATCAACAAGACGCAGCTGTTTTGATTTTGGAAAACCAAAACAGAGAAAATTTATGGAGTAAAAAGATTGAGTGTTTCCCTTTTGTTTGCTGACAATTTGACAATGTATTTGCACCTTTTCTTTCTTAACACTCATATTACAAGTACTATACTGAAATATTGTTATAAAAATAACATTGAATGATTAAACTATTTTCTCGTAGCAGTGTATCTCGTGACCACTACCAGCGGTGAGATGGTGTGAAGGAGCTGAAGGGGTTCATGCTATAGGTGCTGGAGTGAAGTCTCTTTCCCTAGGAGATTGGGTTATTGCCTTTCCACCAACTCCAGGCATGATGATTTTTTAAAAATTAATATTAGAAGTTTTAAATGCAGACTTTTAGTTATATTCACTTCTTTCTCTATCAATATTTCTGCTCTTTGTTGTTCAATTAGAATATTTTTCTTAAAAGACATGAAGTCTGACTTTTGCATATATTTATTTCTTTTATTCTGTTAGCTTTTGTTTTGTGTATTATAAGGTACCCAAGAATTTGCATTTTTCTGAGGCAAGAAATGCAAGTGCATGAAATAAAGCATAGTTGTCAACTTTTAGGTTGTGCAACATATACCTTTCCATCGGTTAGATGCAAGGAAAAACGTCTCATTTTTTCTTCTATTAGGCACATGGCAGACTTATGCTTTAGAAGAACAAAGTTTCTGGTATAAAGTTGACAAAAGCACACCAATGGAGTATGTTGCCACTCTATTGTTAATCCAATGACTGTCTTGAGAATGCTCGAGGACTTTGTTGCATTAGAATCAGGTATTGCCATTTTAAACAGGTTACCGCTGCTCTACCTTGAATACGCATGTTTTGATTTATGCACGCGCACGCACACACACACACATATACACACACACATACATACTAGCTTGGGCGCGCGCGTTGCGTGACGGTTGATGCCAAATCTTGAGAAAAAACGAGAAAGATGTGTTGTATAAAGAAAGGTATGCAAATACATCACAAAAGCATAGTGACAAAAAACAATCAATGATGTCTATTAAAGCAACACAGTCAATAAAAGTTTCAGTTTGAATGCTTGGATCAGAAAAGATCAAACAAAACATCACAGTAGTAGAGTGAGGGTACAACAGCGTGGTGCGAGAACCATCATAGCATGCAGCGCTAGTGATCTCGTATGTATTGGTGTGACTTGGCAGCTCCTTTACACACAAGATGAAATGACAAGTAGCATCGCTCTACCGCGTCCATACTTGAGGAAGATGAGAGTGGAATGCCTCTTGAGTTCAAATCTCATCTGGATTAGGCGCATAATGGGTTCTTCCCCAGTCACAAAATAAGCTTCTTCTTTGCCATGGTAGATCAGTAGGTGGCCCCTCATGTCACTGCACGATCTCAAGAAAGCTTCACACCAATTCTGCATTAAAATATAGAAATGCATTATAGTGATAATTGGAAAGAATAATATGCGGTCACCGTGAGAGTTTTTTTATTTGCAGTTGTTGTTTCAACAACATGTGTTATGAAACTGAAAATAAGAGTGGATGCATAGAAAGCAAGTTGGTTTTCTATATTTTGTAGCTGATGTTCTTTACTTGTTGCATCTCGTCATTTACTAAGTTTAAGTGTTTTCTCAAAAAAGTAAACAAAGAAGACTAAAGAATCAACTGGAGCAGAATGGAAAACAAGAAATGGAAAACTGACTATTAACTGTCTTGTGATATGATGACAGGTGGCAGATGGTACCAAAACAAGAAGGAATGAAAAACATCACATACCTTCGCAGTTTGTTTGGGCACATAGAGAAAAGAGGGAGGGCAATACAACTACCGGTATGTGCACTTTGGGAAAGAGGACTTCCCGTAGACAAGGAATTCATCTGTAATTGACAAGAATACACATTAGGAACCGACACACAAAAGAACCCACACAAGCATGCAACACAGAGATGGCACACAAGCGTTAGTTCTGTGGAAAAAATAAGTTAGGTAAGCGATGTGGCTTAATATGAAACAGAAAGCACAGTGAATGTACATGGGTTATCTGAGTTGTTGCAATAACCAGCGGGTGTTCCAGCTACGTTCAGAGAGAAGCCTTCCTTGTCAAACATCAACACTTTAAACGTGAAATTACCAATGTGCCTTAGGAGAACATATGCGCTGAATTCAATATTATTTTCTATAAACAATTCAGCAAATCTATCAGAGAAAGAGCAATCGTCAACTTTGACAGTCCATGAGGTGGCTCCATATATAAGGTGAATGTAAGGCTTGATATGTTCAAACAGATGCCTATGCATACAGTCCGGAATTTTCCGGACAATAAAGTGAAAAGAGAAACAACAGTAGTGCGAATGGGCACCATCAAGAAACAAAATAATCAAGAGTAAATGAATGAATGTGAAGCAGGAAGCGTCAAACAAGTTCGATGTCACGAGTGTTTAGGAGAAACCTAACAATAGTGAACTGTAGCACGTCGGATAATTGGAACGAACCTGTTATCGAGCATGCTATGAAGTTTGAACAATAACAAACAAAATAGAAAAAATGCTCAAAGACTTTAAATGTACTCATTTTCTAAAAAGGAAGAAATGGCGCATATAAATCGCAAAAGAAAATCAACCTACAATGAGAGACATCGATGGGTCTCGTCGCACAAATGGCTAAATTTGTGCTCAATTTCTGCTTTGTTCCTGAAGTTTGTTGGCAAGAGCTTGAAACACCTCGAAGCTCGCAAGAATTGCTTCCAATCTTGGCTTGTCTCACAGTCACACTCTTCTGCATTTGTCTGGGTAACAACAACAACCATAATTTTCCTGTCGTGCACTGTGTTCATAAAATACATAAGAGTCTCATTGCTCGAAGGATGCTTTGCACTTTCGACGGAACATTTGATGAACAAATCCATAAAACCCGTGAACAACAAACAAATGAGTACAATTAATGTATGTATAGAGCATGTGAGTTTGGAAATGAAATCAAGGAGTGTAAGAGAGACAATAGCAACACACTGTTTGAGTAACCTTTACCTGAGAATGACTGGATAGAGAGGCGTGCAAAATCACAGCAACAAAGAAACCAAAGAAAATCAAACTTATGGTTGCAAACAAAATCAAGAAGTGTAAGAGAAGAGAGACAATAGCAACACAATGTTTGAGAAAACTTTACCAGAGAATGGTTGGACAGAGAGGCGTGTGAAATCACAACAAACTTTACCTGAGAAAATTGACGATAAGGTGTGTTGGTTCTAAGCGACGATGGTTCGCATGAAAGGAAGCGGGAGTGCAGCGGTAGAGAGATGAAGAGACGTGTTGGCAGTTGGTACGGACTAATAAACAGCATTGGACGATGCCTTGTATTTGTTGATTAATTAATAGAACTAAACTAAGCTTCTACCTTTGTGTATCTTTGATCAAATTTGATTGTGTGTTTAGTTTATTTTCAAAAAATTAATTTTTTATTTTAAGCGATAAATAAGGAAGTATACAATTACACAGTTAAAATAGATAAATAACGGCATTATTGATTTTGTATTTTAAGCGATAAATAAGGCAATATACAATTACACAGTTAAAATAGATAAATAACGATGTTATGTAGAAACAACAAGGCTAATAAATAAGGCAGAGAAAAATAAGCTCATGAAAAGTAATATGGTTAATGCAGAAAAAGTAGGCATAGTAGAAGATCTAAAAAGAAGGAAAAACATTTTTTTATATAAAAAACACGTTGTTTTAAAACAACTAATAACAACAGTTATCTCTGTGGTGCGTGTTTTTGGTAAGTTCAATCTTACATAAAACATATTTATTGAACGTCCTTCTGCCAAAACCGTTGTGAAAGATGTTTATATTTTTTTATTTTTTTTTGCATTTGAAAGCAAATTTACAAATGCAAAACCACACGAGCTAAACAAAATGATTGATTCATATGAAAATACAACACTGATGATTTGTATGTGCACCAAACTAATTACCTAATCATTTGTGTTCCATTACATGCAATTTTCCTAAAACATTAAAACTTTGGTTATCTGCAACTATTCCCATGGTTATATATATACACAACAGTAAACCAATCAGAATAGGAAAATGGAGACTAAAGTCTTTTTTTCGGGAGCGAGGGTGGGGGGAGTGGGATTAGTTTAAAATATTTTTCTTTTTAACACAATTTATCTGTTTCATCTATTTACAAGAACATGGAAGCAGTACAAAACCATTGCAACATTTTTTAAAAAACAGTAGGCTAATATTGTCAAACACATGGAGCACAACAATCCTTTATGCTTTTTTTCCATCAAATGTAATCTTCTCAAAACAAAGAAGGTTTGATAACATGCGACCACGTGCATGGTTGCGTATATACAAGGTGTCAGCAAGCCTCATCAATAGGGTACATAATTGTGAGTTCGCATGTACAGAACAACCATGAACAACCTTAGATGGACAAAAAAACAAAAAATAAAAAGGTCTTCTAGATAATGTAGCAGTGAGCAAGGGCAGCGTAAAACACCAAAAGTTACCAATTAGTCTATAAAGTTTGAGCAAAAATAGGTGTTCATAATGTACAGACAAGTCAAAACACTTCAACGAATGTCAAGGCAGCAGCAAAAAGGGTTGATCGTGTCTGTTAGCCGCCAGGAGTTTTGTGCTTCCTGTAGTGAACACTCGCAAGTGATTCCTCCTCTGAATCTTTACTGGGAAAAGGCCCTTTAGCAGGGGTAGAAGGAGTTGGGTTCGGCATGTTGTTCAGCGAATTGAAGTTTAGTTTTCTTTTGGGGACAACGACAACATCTACTGCAGTCTCCGATGAAGCAGCATCCACATGTGGGGCAGGTTTCAGAGGTGTTTTTACGTTGTAGACAAGCACACCACTATAAGGATTCTTCCGAAGACCATCTTCGTTGCTTTTTGAGCGCTTCACACCTGCAATAACCATCACTGATTGGAGTCTTGCATCCAAAGACTCCAAGTCCATGTCAGTGTCAGGGTTCATGCAAACAAATTCAAACAGTCGTAAAATGTCGCTTGTGAAAATAGTCACAGGAATGCAGTCACTCGCATTAGACAACGAGGCATTGCAGATAAACCTGTAGCAGTTTCATTCAGTTAGCACCTAAATAAATAACCAAGGCATTGGTAGGTTTTGAGGCTCGCACCGTTTAACCGTGGTTCCCTATTTCTGACCACACAACAAGCACTTGAATGTTATGTCATCAACGCCATACACTTTACGGTTACAATAGGCACAACCAACATAGAAATCATCCCTTAAAGTGTCAGTCAAGCTAATCTGCAGGCTGGAACAGTGGGAAACAGGAAAAAAGAGTACCAAGCATTCCCTGACCACAGAAGTCGTTGAAGCCGCTGGTCTAAAATGGAAAACAACGGTTTGTTTCTTTCCAGCCAATGCGGAGCTTTAATCATTCACCGTTTAAACAGAAATAGGTCAACTAACCCCCTTAGGCCTTTTATATACTACCTCCGTCCTGGTGGACTTTACCAAGTCCAAAGTATGTGAGAAATAAGAATAGTAAAACATGTGTGGTTAAGATTTGTGCAGAGGAGAGAGAAATATGCAGAACCACAGATTAGTTGCTTTAATAGGAAAGTGACAAACTTTTTGGGACAACCAAAAAAGGAACATTGGCAAAGTCCAATGGGACGGAGGGAGTATATAGTAAGATATATATCAATGGATGGCTTCTATGTTGGTTATGACTATTGTAACCGTAAAGTGTATGGCGTTGACAGCATAGCATTCGAGTGCTTGTTTTGTGGTCAGAAACAGAGAACCACGGTTAAACGGTGCGAGCCTCCAAACCTACCATTGTCTTGGTTATTTATTTAGATTCTTACTGAATGAAATTGTTACAGTTTTATCTGCAATGCCTCATTGTCTAATGCGAGTAGCTGCATTCCTGTGACTGTTTTCACAAGCGACATTTTACGGCTATTTGAATTTGTTGGCATGAACCCCGACACTGACATGGACTTGGAGGCTTTGGATGCAAGACTCCAATCAGTGATGGTTATTGCAGGTGTGAAGCGCTCAAAAAGCAACGAAGATGGTCTTCGGAAGAATCCTTATAGTGTTGTGCTTGTCTCCAACAAAAAAACACCTCTGAAACCTGTCCCACTTGTGGATGCTGCATAATCGAAGCCTGCGGCAGATGCTGCCGCTGAACAGCAAAAGAAAACTAAACTTCAAATCGCTGAACAGCATGCTGATCCCAGCTCCTTCTGCCCCTGCTAAAGGGCCTTTGCCCAGTGAAGATTTTGAGGAGGAACCACTTGCGAGTGTTCGCCACAGGAAGCGCAAAACTCCTGGCGGCTAACAGACACAATCAACCCTTTTTGCTGCTGCGTTGACATTCGTTGAAGTGTCTTGACTTGTCTGTACATTATCAACACCTATTTTTGCTCAAACTTTCTAGACTAATTGGTAGCTTTTGGTGTTTCACGCTGACCTTGCTTACTGCTACATTATTTAGCAGGCCTTTTTGTTTTTTTGTCCATCTAAGGTTGTTCATAGTTGTTACGTACATGCAAACTCAAAATTATGTACCTTTTGATGTGGCTTGTTGACACCTTGTATGTTGTCGCATGTTATCAATCTTTCCTTGTTTTGAGAAGATTACATTTGATGGAAACAAAAGCATAAAGGATTGGTGTGCTCCATGTGTTTGACTTTTATCGTACTTTTTTTAAAAAAATGTTGCAATGGTTTGGTACAGCTTCCATGTTCTTGTAAACAGATGAAAAAAATAAATTGTGTTAAAAGAAAAAATATTTTAAACTATTCCCACTCCCCCCAAAAAAACAAACTTTACTCCCCATTTTCCTAATCTGATTGGTTTATCGTTGTGTGTATACATAACCATGGGAATAGTTGCAGATGACCAAAGTTTTAATGTTTTTGGAAAATTGCATGTAATATAATGGAACACAAATGATTAAGTAATTAGTTCGCTGCACACGCTAATCATTAGTGTAGTATTTTCAGATGAATCCATCATTTTGTTCTGTTCGCGTGGTTTTGCATTTGTATATTTCCTTTCAAATGGGAAAAAATTAAAAAAAAATAAACTGCTTTCACAACTGTTTTAGCAAAAGGACATTCAATAAATATGTTTTATATAAGATTAAACTTACCAAAAACACGCACTGTAGAGATAACTGTTGTTATTAGTTGTTTTTAAACAACATGTTTTTTATAAAAAAAAATGTGTTTCCTTGTTTTTAGATCTTTTATTATGCCTTATTTATCTACATTAACCATATTACTTTATATCAGCTTATTTTCCCTGCCTTATTTATTAGCTTTATTGTTTCTACGTAACACCGTTATTTATCTATTTTAACTGTGTAATTGTATACTGCCTTATTTATCTCTTAAAATACAAAACCAATAACGCCGTTATTTATCTATTTTAACTATGTAATTGTATACTGCCTTATTTATCGCTTAAAATACAAAACCATTTTTTTAAAAACAAACTAAACACACAATCAAGTGTGGTCAAAGATACACAACGGTAGATGGTTAGTTTAGTTCCATTAATTAATCGAAAAATACAGGGTGCCGCCCAATGCTGTTTATTCGTCCGTACCAACTGCCAACACGTCTCTTTATCTCCCTGCCGTTGCACTCCCGCTTCCTTACATGCGAACCATCGCCGCTCGAAACCAACACAACTCATCGTCGATTTTCTCAGGTAAAGTTTGTTGTGATTTCGCACGCCTCTCTGTCCATCCATTCTCAAGTAAAGTTTTCTCAAACAGTGTGTTGCTATTGTCTCTCTTCTCTTACACTTTTTGATTTCGATTCCAACCATACGTTTGATTTTCTTTGGGTGCTTTGTTGCTGTGATTTCGCACGCCTCTCTATCCAGTCATTCTCAGATAAAAAGGTTACTCAAACAGTGTGTTGCTATTATCTCTCTTACACTCCTTGATTTCATTTCCAAACTCATATGCTCTATGCATACATTAATTGTACTCATTTGTTTATTGTTCATAGGTTTTATGGATAACTTCAACAATTGTTCTGTTGAAAATGCAAAACATCCTTCTGGCAATGAGACTCTTATGTACTTTATGAACACAATGCACGACATGAAGATTATGGTTGTTGTTGTTACCCAGACAAATGTAGAAGAGTGTGATTGTGAGACAAGCCAGGATTGGAAGCAATTCTTGCGAGCTTTGGGGTGTTACAGGCTCCTGCCAACAAACTTCAGGAACAAAGCAGAAATTGAGCACAAACTTAGCCATTTTGTGCGACGAGGCCCATCGATGCCATTTTGTGTGATTGAGTACATTTAAACTCTTTGATCATTTTTTATTTTGTTTGTTCCATTTATCCGACGTGCTATAGTTCACTTTTGTTTGGTTTCTCCTACACCCCTGACATCGAACTTGTTGTACGCTTCGTGTTTCACATTCACTCATTTACTCTTGGTTATTTTGTTTCCTGATTGTGCCCATTCACACTACTGTTGTTTCTCTTTTCACTTTATTGTTTAGAAAATCCCTGATTGTATGCATAGACATCTGTTTGAACATATCAAGCTTTACGCTCGCCTTATATATGGAGCCACCTCATGGACTGTCAAAGTTGACGACTGCTCTTTCTCCGATGGCTTTATTGAATTGTTTATAGAAAATGATATTGAATTCGGTGCATATGTTCTCCTAAAGCACATTGGCAATTTCACGTTTCAAGTGTTGATGTTTGACAAGAAAGGATTTTTTCTGAATTGGTTCTTACAACAATTCAAATAACCCAGGTACATTCATTGTGCTTTCTATTTCATATTAAGCCACATCGCTTGCCTAACTTATTTTTTTCACAGAACTAACGCTTGTGTGCCATCTCTGTGTTGCGTGCTTGTGTGGGTTCCTAATGTGTATTCTTGTCAATTACAGATGAATTCCTTGTCTACGTGGAGTCCTCTTTCCCAAATTGCATATACCAGCATTTGTATTGTCCTCCCTCTTTTCTCTATGTCCCCAAACAAACTGCGAAGATGTGTGCTGTTTTCGGTTCCTTCTTGTTTTTGTACCATTTGCCACCTGGCAGATCATATCACAAGACAGTTAATAACCAGTTTTCCATTCCTTCTTGTTTTCCATACTACTCCAGTTGATTCTTTAATCTTCTTTGTTTACTTTTGCTAGAAAACATTTAAACTTAGTAAATGACGAGATGTACCAAGAACATGAGCTACGAAATATAGAACACCAACTTGCTTTCTATGCATCCACTCTTATTTTCAATTTCATAAGACATATGTTGTTGAAACAATAACTGCAAATAAAAAACTCTCATGGTGACTGCATATGAGACATATATTCTTTTCCAATGATCACTACAATGCATTTCTATATTTCAATGCAGAATTGTTGTGAAGCTTTCTTGAGTTCGTCCAGTGACTGAGGGACCGCCTACTAATCTACCATGACAAAGAAGAAGCTTAATTTGTGATTGGGGAAGAACCCATTCTGCGCCAAATCCAGATGAGCTTTGAACTCAAGAGGCATTCCACTCTCGTCTTCCCCAAGTATGGACGCGGTAGAGCAATGCTACTTGCCATTTCATCTTGTGGTGTAGAGGAGCTGCCAAGTCGTACCAATACATACGAGATCATTAGCGATGCATGCTATGATGGTTATGGCCCTTTTGATCTCGCACCACGCTGGTGTACCCTCACTCTACTACTGTGATGTTTTTTTTATGTTTCTGGTCCAAGCATTCTAACTGAAATTTTTATTGACTGCGTTGCTATAACAGACACCATTGACTGTTTTTTGTCACTTTGCTTGTGTGACGTATTTGCATATCTTTGTTATACATCGCAACTTTCTCGTTTTTTCCCATGATTCGGCATCAACCGTCGCGCAACGCGCACCAAAGGTAATACATTTACGATGGTTATCTACACCAGTAAAAGGCGAAAAACCGTAGAATATTTATTCGTAGAAAACGTGGAATCAAAAGTAGCCATATCACCAAACAATGCATAATGTTTCCTACATAAGTCATCTGCCCAAAAAACTCCAGTCAATCTCTTAGTCTCATCAACAACATAATTAAAAAAGAAACCACTTAAATGAGCAACATTTTGCTTAAAAGACTCAATAAACATATGCCCATCTCCATATTTAACATATGTCTTCAAATCACGATAACAGTTCTTAAAATCAACTAAAGAAGCACCAATGTTTGCATACCCACCGACATGTTCTTTCATCATATGAAAAGTCAAACTTGCTCCCTTGTTAAGCTTCGCATTGTCAAAAATAAATTTCTTATGAACCACAATCATATTGCGGTTTTGCTTTTGAAACATTTTACTCTTGAGAGTAGTAAACTCATGTGTATGTGGCTCATGAAACTGGTATACTGTATATGAACCAAAAGAAGAGAAACAGACTTTCATACAAGCACCACAGCCCGTTCTCTTTAGGGCAATTCGGCGATGTGCACTTTTACCAGATTTCTGTTTTTCAGATTTAAGCAAACGCTTTTGGATACTGTCACCATCCTCTTTAAAACCTTGTTTGTTGCATAGATAATATTTCCTTAAAACAGTACCATCTCGATGTTTATTATCACTTCCTAACCGCACTTCAAATCCACACATCGAAGCATATTGATCGTAAAAGAGCTTAGCGTCTCCTAAGGAAGAGAAAATCATACCAACAGCAGGTTTACAATCAGGAGGGCAAGCTGGAATCCATTGTTTAGAAGAAAAGGAAGTGCTCAAGAATGGAGTTGAGTTCACAATTGAGTTCACATCAACAACATCAACATCATCAACTTGATCCATTATACTGAAAAGCAATAAACATTAAGACAAAGAAAATTCAGTCAACAAAAATAATCTATACATAATTACAACTTCAGCTAACAGATCATACATGTTTGGGTTTCCTACATCAATTCAAAGTGCTATACATAGTGATTGGAAATTGAGGTTCTCTGTCAACTAAAAAACTTTTAATCAAATAACAAACTATTAAATCAAAATACATAACTTTTATTGAAAACTCTGGTCTAAAGGTTAGAAGGTTTAAATTTTAATAAAAATGTAAATTTAAGAGGACAAAACTATAACTATATAGAGAAAAGTTTAATAAAAAAGTAGTCAATGAGTTTCATTCGTTATTCATAAAATTACACTCTAGGCTCGAATGAATTAAGGTTGAAACAGTCTAACAAACACTTGATAGGCATAATATATAGTTTCGATTGAGTTATGAAACAAATAAGACAACAAAAAATTAACGAGCAAAACTGTTTGTAGAAAGATAGTTGAATCGAATATCATAATTTAGGATTCAAAAAATCAAAACCAAATTCCAGGTAAAAATCAATCGCAGAGCATAAATTGAATCAGATGAGGGAAGAGTTTAGTATTTCAGATTAAGAAAAAATAGGATGATCGGACCTTCGATATGTCTTCGATGGGAAGTCGTCGTCAACAAAACTTGCTCTTTCCTCTTGTACGGCGCTGGAAATAACTACAAGGTATAGGTCATAAACTTCATGGATGAAACGGCATAGCCATCGAATTGAAGTTCGAGGGAGAGACGGAAACAGAGACAGACTGGCCTTTAGAAAAAAAAACGTATAGAGTTCATGAAAATTATAAATATGTCATTAATGAAATAATTGTGTTGATGTAATTGGAGAGCTGAGCGTTCTCAATCGTACGGCTGAAATGGTCCAGAATGCTTCTCACTTTTCAGTCTATTCTCATGGGATCTTCTCTCTCTATATATATATATATATACACACACATGTATATATATATATATATATATATATATATATATATATATATATGTATGTATGAGATTCTATTGTGCAAAATGCTTCCACAAGCATCGTGGGGCAATGTGTTATTCAACTTGCTGGAGTCGTGGCATTCACAGTCTTAACATCATTAGAGACATGTATTTACTTGAATCGACCCCCATTTTCAACTTCATTGGTTCAAAATGTGCGAGGAAAGTCTTCTTTTTCACACAATTTTTTCTTTGTTTAAGCCTTAAGTTGATTCAAAAGAGGAGAGGAGAGTGAAGTTGCTCCAAAATGAAGGAAAAGGAGTCCAATTATTCGTCCAATACACTCCAAAATTGTAATGGATCATTTCATAGTTTTAGGTTGATTCAAGTTTTTTGCCCATATTTCTTTTCTTTACTTGTGATTGATTAATCACTTCTTGCAGCTTGATAACTGGTTTTGTAGTTTTAGGTTTTTCTTTACGTATGATATGACTTTATTCTGTGTTAATGATTGTACTTCAAAAATGAATGTACTCTTTCTTCCTAGTTCAAACTTGTTTCGCTTTTGTTCTTTTTGTGTGGACTTTGATTTGCATAGCAAGCTAGCCTTGCAAGTGTTTATAATCGCGCAACGCACCTATAAAAAACTAGTAAATTTGATACTTGGTGAATTTAATTTGAGTTATGCGAGAGGTACAAACACTTTTACAAAAAGTCTTACAAAAGGGGTATGTGACATCCTCACATTATTTAACACATCACATCACATTTACAACATTTTTACATCAATGGTAATTAGAATAATCACATCACTTGTCTGTAAGTTTCATTTAATTTTTTGTTTATCTTGATGCAAAATATTGTTTCCTCCAATTCTTTGGAACTGAAAATGAGGTAGAATTCGGATGAGTTAGTACGCAGAAAAAAGTTAGATTCTAAAAGTAATCAAAGAAAGCACTTGGTGAAAAAACTTTTTCTCTAACTGATGGAAAAACCCTACCCAAAGAAGTCATATCCCAATAAATTGCAACAGTAGAATTTAAAGTCATTGTGAAGACCCGTTTGCAGGAAAGGCTCATGTGATATGGGTACTTAGAATACTATACGGAGTATAAAATAGGAAAAAGGGAAGGAGGGGAAAGAAAATAGTGAGTTTTGATTTAGAGACACTTCAATTTGCACTTGGAATCGGCCACTCAAAGTGTATAGGTTGCTAATAACATGACAGGAGATCACATAGACAACATTTGTAATATTTATTAACATTTTAAAAGGGATTCATTGTACTACTTAATGAGCAGTTTCTAAGAATGAGCTCATCTCTATATCTGCAATTAAGCGTGTTTGCGAAAGAGTAATCCTAGGATGAGTGACCCTCTATGAAGTTTTCAGAATGTGCGGTAACAACCTTAAGCCCTGCAAAGTAAAATAAAACACTAAGTTAATTTTGGGACATCCCAAATATAGAAACGGCTAAAGTTAATTGTAGAAGCA